GATATATAACTTACTCTTCACCCAGCCCAGCAACATTTCCTGCCCTGGACCAGCCTTTCATCATGCAAGTATCAACTCTGGTCCTTATCAAGCTCCAGGAAGCCTTTTCCAGCCCTTAAAACCAGAAGATTTTAAGGAGTCCCACCCCCACCTTCCACCCATTGGAACAAAGCAACACCCTGTTCTTAATTTTGCCATCTAAGCCCACCCCATCTCAAGAATCAAATGCTATCATTTTGTAATTGATGGAAAAGAAAAGAAAGAGGAGGGGGGAAACCAGGAACAGAAACAAACAAAAGAAAAACACTCACAATTAAAGATTTGGCTCAATTATATATTTGCCAAGTATTTTATTTTTTTCTAAAAACCATAGAAAAAAAATCAACTTTAAAAAGGAAAAGGTACTTAAATAAAAAAAAATTTATGGTATATAATACATGTTTTGAAATTTTGTGTAACTGCTATAAATGTTTTATTAAAGTTATTTACATTTAATGGTTGTATTTACACAGGATAATTGGGTTAACTTTAGAATTTTTTAAAAACAATTTTTAAATACAAATCTGTTAAAGAAAAAAAAAAGATGGCAAGCATAAAAAAAAAGTTCTTTTATGCCCAAAGTTCCAACTGAGGCAGTTTACATTATGGCTAAGCCTTTCAGTCCAAAGACCCAGCCCAGGTTGTGAGGTTGCACTTGAACATGCACTTTAAGTTCATACGTGATGAGTTGCTTCAGTACTCTTCCCTTTCCCCCTTACTTTCCCTTAATAAGCATTTAAGAAGGAGGAAACCCAGTCCCTCTGATGGATCAACTTATGCCCAAGAGTTCTGTAGCTGTTCAAGTCTGTGTTTCAAATGTTCTCGCCGTTTCCTCAACAAATCCTTTTCTGTAATGAGTTTGTGCTCCTCAGCTTGGAGGGACAGGATGTAGGCAGTAGCCTTTTTAAGGATAACGACCTTGGGAGCCTTTTCATTATTTTCCAATTCTGGGATCTGGTCTCGAAGGGCAAAAAAGCTCCGTTTCAGCTCGTTCCTCCGCTGGCGTTCCAAGACGTTGTGTGTCCGCCTCTTGTTGTTCTCCTCGCTGTCGGAGGTCCTCGGGCTCGTGCATTTGCGGTTGTTACTGATCTGTTTCAGGACTCTGCCACTGTCCAACTTGGCCCTCTTGGAGGCTGGGTAGTCTCTGCGGGTGGAGGGCGGGGCTGCGTAGTTGTGCTGGTGCGTGGAGACGTGGCATCTCTTGAGGACCAGTGGGCTGTGGGGAGGTTTGCTGCGGCTTCCCACAGAGGCTGACCCGGCTTCTGACCTTATGCCAGAGGGCTGCCTCTTTTCCACAGAGACGACATCAATTTCTTCATCATCCTCTTGTTCTTCCTCTTTTAAAAAAAAAAAAAAGCACAAGAAATCACCAGGTTAGCGAGCAACCCTTCACCAAATCATCTTACAACCCTGTGCAAGCGTCAAGTCTTAACTATTTGAGTGGATCTTGGACCAAGAGACATCTTGCTTCCCCAAGAGAACCGAAGTCCTCCCCAGAAGCCTTGGGTGAGTGGCAGCTGGGGTAATAGCACACCAAATGACAATTTACCAGCATACAACATTGCTGCCAATTCTTACCTAAGACTTAATGAGGCTTTGGACACACCCAAAGCAAAGCCTATTCCCAAGCACCTCCCATTTTTAGGGACTTTACCAAAAACCCTTCAGGTGTTGCAAATGATAGCTGCAAATCTCTGGGTATGACTTTACCAACTCCCTATTTTACTGGAAATGCAAAAGAGGAGGGCGGGAATCTTGCAGCTTTGCCAGAAAGTACAGAGCAGGGAGGCAAAGAGAGGGCTAACTTTGGCCACAGAGGGCTTCCCGGCTCCATCCTGCGCTAGCGCTCAGCTCCCAGTACCTAGTGTCAGGACCGTGCCCTGCCGACTAACTCTTGATTTTTCTAGATTCATAGCCCATTAAATTCCAACAACTTCTCAGAGGTTCAGGGAAGAGGGAGGCAATTCATCAATCTCTTTGCGCATTCACCACCACTCCCCACCCTCCACAGGGCAATTAACATGCTTAAAAGAGGTAAAAAGGAATGGATTGAGATAAAACCAGAAGATTTAAAAACACCCAAAGGCATTCCTAAGGGGTGGGAAGGATCAGAGGGGGGTGGGGTGAGGTGAGGCTGGCCTCTAGGTGGGTTTGCAGGGAGGGAAGACTATAAAGCCCAGGGTTCACAGAGTGATTGGCTGGTTTTTGGTTTTGGATGATGGGTTTTGAGATCTGCTTTTTCTCCTTCCAAATGGATTAAATGGACAGAAAGGGTCAATGGAAGGTGCAAGTGAATTAACTGTCAAGGTGAACGGGCGATCTACCCAGCTGTCCCTGAACAGGTCTATGGTTTACCAGAGTCGCTGCTGGTCGTGGGGGGCGTCTCCTCGAGTAGCGCCAGAGACTCAGGGCTGGTCCGCGGGGAGGACTCGAGGGAGGAGAGCAGGGACTGGGAGGACGATAAGACAGAGGACTCGGGCGAGGAGCAGGACTTGGGCGCGCTGCTGTCGTTGAGCGGGTAGGGAAAGACCACCGAGGGGTCGATGCACTCGGAGGCGGGGGCGCTCAGGTCCTGCAGGTAGAGGCTGGAGGTGGCGCAGGCGCCATGTGAGCGCGCGGGGCAAGGGATGTCACTGTCTTTGCGCGCAGCCTGGTAGGACGCCAGCTTCTCCGACACCAGCTTGGCGGCGGCTGAGAAGCCGCTCCACATGCAGTCCTGGATGATGATGTTCTTGACGAAGGTTTCGTCGTCCGGGTCGCAGATGAAGCTCTGGTTCACCATGTCTCCCCCCAGCAGCTCGGTGACCATCTCCAATTGGTCGGCGGTGGAGAAGCTGCCACCGCCGCCGTCGTCGCCGCCAGGGGTGAGGGAGGTGAAGGCCAGGTTGTAAGAGGGCGAGCAGAGCCCCGAGCGGCGGCTGGGGGACAGCGGCGGGGTGGGCAGTAGCTCGAATTTCTTCCAGATATCCTCGCTGGGCGCCGGCGGCTGCAGCTCGCTCTGCTGCTGCTGCTGGTAGAAGTTCTCTTCCTCGTCGAAGAAGTAGGGCTGCACCGAGTCGTAGTCCAGGTCATAGTTCTTGTTGGCGAAGCTGACGTTGAGAGGCATCGCGACAGCCTGCTGCGGGGGGCACACAAAGGGGGGACCGGCTTGAGTTAAAGGGTCCGGGGTGCGTGTGGAAACTTGGCGCAGCGCACAGTCCCTCGCCACTCCCCTGTCTGCCCTCCCTGTCCCTAAAGGAGCCAGAAGACGAGTCCCCTAGACCTCTGCCTTCTCACTCCCTCCGTGCGCCCCCTTGGGAACAAGGACACGCACTAGGTGGTTGAGCTGCATGGTGCCGCCAGGCTCCAGTCCCCCGGGATCTGGGGCTGTGAAAGCCGGGAGTCCGCCCCGCAGTCGCCGAGGTGGGATAGAGGCTGCGCCACCTGAAGGAGAAGGCGAGAGGCGCCGCGGCTCAGGCGACAGCGCCCGATCCCCCGCCCGGCCCCACTCGCGCACTCCCCGCCGGCGCCGCCGCCTCCCGTCGCCACCCCCAGCGCGCCCCCTTCCTTCTCCGGTCGGCCTTTTCTCTTTTTTCCCTTCTCAGTCTCTCTCCCAGTTGGAGTGGCGAGACCAGGCGCTGGCTTTAACACCTCTCCCCATAAATAAAAAGGGGAGTGTGAAATAACCGGGGCACTTCCCTTCACCGCCCAATAGGCAAGGCTATTGCGCTCCCCGCGCGCGGCCGCGGCTGCCCCCGCTCCGTCAAGGCTAACAGCTGTTTGGGGAAAGCCCGGAGCCCCGCTCCTCGCTCCGCATCTCGGGGGCGCCGGAACACCCACGAAGGTCGGCGGGAAGGCAAGGCGGGGTGCCGAGACAAAGTCAACGATTTCGGGAGGCGAGACATCTCCCAGCCCCGGCCTCCCCCGTTCCCTTCCCTTGCTCTCTTCAAAGCAAGTACGAACACCTCTCGAGAACAAGATATTTTTCTTTTTTAAAAAGGCAAATGCAAACTTCTTTAAAAGAAGAGCAGGGGGTGAGCTGGGAGCGCGCCGCAATGTTGGTGGCCGGCTGTCAGAAATGTGCAGCCGAAATTTAAATGCCCTCCCGGAGACGAGGGGCTGCGGTGCCCTTTTGCTTACATACGCAATCTGCAGTAAGCCTGACTCCAAAACTCAAGATGCAAAGCGCATTCAGCCTACGGCGAAGCACAGACAACCCCTCCTCAACCCAAAAACGCAATGAATGTTATAAAGCAGAAATGCTTACCCGGCTCGGGCAACGTCCTACACGCATACGTACACAGCAAAAATTTAAAAAAATCTCTCCAAGCTAATTTCCAAACTGCACCCCAGTGTTCTGAGTCTCTCCACCTTGACAAGTCACTCGACCCCGATCAGGATTCGGGATTGCCCACCCAGCTCACCCCAATCCACAACTACTCTGAGAAAAGTGTCAATAGCGCAGCCAGGGTAGGGAAAGATACATTCAGGCATGCGATACATTGCAGCAGGAAAATGCCAGCGAAAAGGAAATCCAAAGGCAAACTGATTTCGGCACTTACCGGGCCCTCCACTCTCCGTAGCAAATCCAGATCCCAGAGAGCGGTGGAGGGCCTTTCAGAGGCCGTGGGTCCCGGGCAGCGGCGGGGAAAAGTGTTTCAGCAGCGGGCGGGCTGGTCTCCCGGCGCCCGGCGGCTGCGCTCTCGCCCGGTTATTGTAAGTTCCAGTGCAAAGTGTCCGCCCGCGGCTCGAAGCAAAGTTTGGCGGCTGCGGGAAGGGTGCGCCCCGCGCGTCGGGGGCGGCGGTGCCGGAGGCAAGAAGGCCCCCTTTTCAGTTCGGATCTCTCAGCCCGAGCGCCCTCAGCGCCGATCTGCCTCTTCAGCTCCCTAGATTCTTGCAGCCTCGGAGCCTGCCCGCTCACTCCCTCTGCCTCTCGTTGCAATTACTACAGCGACTGCCGAAGAAAGCTCGGAAAACCAGCTTTTATACTACGGCTGTCTCCCGCCCCTCTCTCTTTTCCCGCCAAGCCTCAGCGAAGCCCAACCCTCCCGAGGCCAGAAATGCAATCAGGCAGCAACAGGGCGAGGTCCTAAGAGCGCCGCCCCAGGGTCCTCGCGCGCAAAGACCCTCTCCTTTTAAAGAGCCTGGGGCGGGGATTAGACCGAGCGGCTCCTTTTCCTCTAACACTCTTTGCTTTCAGACCCCCAGGGTGGGGGTGGGGGCCGCTCCGAGAGGGAGGGCCGGGGGAGGAGACTCTCAGGCTTTCTCTTCTGAGCTCAGGCTTCGGATGTAAACAGTAGGAGCGCAGTGCTAATCAATCCCGTGCGCCTACCGTCTTCTCCCGCTCCCTCTCCAGCCCTCCCCGGGTCTCTGTTGCCCCTCTGGCGCAGTCCTCTGTTTGACAAACTGCACACGAGCCCCGGGACATCGCGGATACCCCAGCGGCTCAACGCACGTCTCTGGTGCGCGGTCGCGCGCCTCCCTAAGGCCGGGGGAAAGGGCAGCACTTTGAAAATTAAATCCAAGTGAAGAAAGGAGAGAGTGGAGAGCCTGTGTGCAGAGTGTGGACGGAGATACATAAATATTACAAGGAGGTTATGAAAATAATGCAGCTGCGCATTGCCACGTATACTCAGAAAGCGCGCTCTAACGTCCTCAGCTTGCGCATTTGCTGGGGAGTGTAATGCATGAGGCATGATGTGTGTACAGCTCTCTACAGCAGGTTCCTCTAAAAGGAATCCTTCCATTTGCTGCCGAAGCTGCAGACCACCCTGGGCCCCGCCCAGCAGAATTTGCGGAGGGACCCGCGGGGGAGGCCGCCGCTCCCCCAGGGCGTGCTAATCTCGGAAACCTTCCTTCGTGTTTCTGACCCGGACGAGGAGGGGCGCGCGTTTGTAGGTCCGCACCACGGGAGACCCTCCCCTGCGGCTGTCGGCGGCTCCGCGGTCCCACCCTTGCGCCTCCCACTCGAAGTTTCCAGGTTGCAGCTAGATTTTCAGAATGGCAAACCCTCTTCGCGCCCCGTGGCGCGGGTTTGCACCAGGCTTGGGCTGCCAATGGGGACGCAAAGGCGCTAGACGGGAGAATCGTGGAGGAGGGGCGCGCTGGACCGCACTCCTCGGAAGAGGGGAGGAGATGGGGGTGTAGAAGCGGGACCCAGAGCGTCCGAGACCTTGGACACGAAAACCGTTAACTGTTTCCTCTCCGGCAAACCGAAAGCTCACTTCCTTCTTGGACCTTTCCCCCGTCTTTATTATTGGAATCGTGATAATGTACCCAAAATGCACCGATTCTGATCAAAGGAGGACAGCAGAGCATTATTTCCGTGCCCTTTTTTGGGGGAAAGGGGGTGTGCCTTGAGCTCATTAAAAGCTGGCAGCATTTCAACCTTTAATTTCCTCCTTCACCGAGTCAATTCTGTTCCCTGAATACCTTAGTGAAAGTGCATTGTGTGTCACCCGCATCCAAGGCTACGTCGACCCAGGCTGGTGCCCAGCTCGTCACGTGAGCCGTCGGCTCCCAGGATGAATCTATATTTAATACCAATGCATATTCTCCGGGGATCTGCTATTTTGCATTATACTCAATTCAAGCCTCAGGGCTGTGGAGTGGATTCCAACTCATCAAAACCAAAAGACAATCAATCAGTCCTCCAGTGCGCTTACTTAAAGAGCATGTCAAGTAAACTTCTTTTCACCCCACCCAAAAAAAGGAGGGGGAGAGAATATGTTATATATGTTATTCCCCATGTAGCCTGCAGCTCCGTGCTCAATTGTAAATGGGTAGTAACTTCCCCTGCTCAGCTTTAAAGGTTGCAGATGCCTGCAGCTCTGGGGCCTCCCCGCACGCTCTGCGCCCCTCCCCATGCTGCTCCTGCTGCGCCCGCCGCCGGGTTTGCGAAAGTAAAGTAAGTGTGCCCTCTACTGGCAGCCGCGGTCACCGCATCCGGATGCCCCAGAGGGCGGGGGTCGGGAGGGGGCTGGGCCTGCCCCCCCCTCCCAAAAGAGGAGGCCAACTGGTTCAAAACCAGTTTCCAGCCTCCTCTTTCAAGATTACTTTATGGAGCCTGCAGAGGGGCGGGGAAAGGTGAATTACTGGAGGAAAAAGTGGCTCAGAGGGGCCTCTCCAACCTCCTTCTGGGGTGAAAATTAACCCCACACCACTCCTCGACGGGGAACAACACCCTTTGGAGAAGTGATGGTATTTATGGGAAACGTGAAATAATGACTGTTTTAAAATTTCCAGCAAAGCTCAGAAATACCTTTAACCCACAGGTCCTGGAAACACACTGTCTTTTAAGCACCAGTTTTCAAAGCAAGACGCTAATAAGGGTGGGGGGTTGGAGAGATGCAAGGGGAGAAGGTGTGGGGTGTTTGCTTTTGTTTCTTGGTTTTTAACTCAAAGTGAATGGGGACTGGTGAACAAGAGCAGATGTTATCATAGTGAGGAGAGCTTTGGAGCTTCCACTGAAAGAAGTGTCCAAAACCTGGACAGCTCTGTGTTACCTAGCTCTGCCCCAGGAAGTGTGTGGAGGAAGACACTTTCAAGAAAAGGTCGTTTGCCAGGAATCTGGCACTTTGGGCATTGCTGCTGGAGGTGGAGCAACTACTGATTCTGTGAGGAAGGAAGGCATCCCTGGTTCGATTCCAGCCCTATGCACCTCTCGGTGTGGCCACCACCTGCAGGTGGAAGCTGGTGTGTCATTATGATGCTGAATAGGTTTCGGCAGAGCTTTTGTAGCAAGATGGACTGGAAAGGCCAGCCAATGGGAAACCACCCCAATGTGACTGGAAATCAATGACAGGAAAGGCTCAGGACTAGGCAGCTTCCCTGGTGCACAGAGCTGTCATGATGTGAACTGACAACACAGTGGGGAAAGAGATATGAGCATAGGTGGTGACCTCGAAGAGTGACTGGTTTTTTCGAAATAACAGCTACTATCCCCAGAGGTACGCGGTTCGAATCCACAAGATGCTCTGCTGGAGAAGAAGGGGAAATCTCTTGTACCAGCCAGATCTGATTTGACGGTACACACATACAAAATAGGAAAGAAAACAAAATAACAGCTACTACCTTTACTGAAAGGATATAGGGGGCCCATTCTAGAAGGCTGATTTTTGAAAGTTGCTAAAGATGCCAGATGCACCATGATTTATGGTGTGACTCTGAAGATTGGGCCAGTCCAGTGTGTTGCTGTTAACAGCGGTTGAGTTGTCCGGAGATGAGTGCCCCTGTTATACGTGGATTTAAAGGCTGCAACCTTTCAGAAACAGACTCGTTTTCAGGGAACCTGTTATTAGATGCCAGTGCCATAGAGTAGACCGTGACTCTCAGTCACTCAACTGATGGAAACCTTGCCTGACCGGCCCTACCTACAGTCTCTGTGCTTACGCCCATTGCTGTACTCACACTGATAATCCATCTCATCGAGGGTCTTTCTCCTTCACTGACCTTTCCAAGCGTGGTGTTATTTTCCAAGCACTGACTTGACTCCTCTCATGTCCAAAGTATCACAATTGTCTCACACTTTTAGCTTCTAAGGAGCCCTCAGTTGTGATGTGGGACGTGTCCTGACGATCCCATGGACTGCCAAAAGATTAAACCCTGAATAAGTGAGCCAGGCTGCTCCTTACAGACAGGGATGGGGAGATTTTTCTCTCACATTCTTTGGACATGTTGTCACCAGAGGTCGATTCTTGGAAAAAGGTATAATGCTTGGAAAAGTAGAAGCACAGCAGAGGAGAGAAAACTCTCAATGCGATAGTTGACACAGTGACTGCAAAATGGGCTGAGACAACAGGAGATTCTGAGGCTGCTGCAGTCCAGGTAGTACTTTTCAGGACCCTTTGCCAACAAGTCAAAGGCATTAATGTTTAAACCTCTAACATTTGCTATCACCCCCAGACACCTTTGAGTGTGTAAACCCAGAGGCTGATTTGGGACCTGGCCTCACTCGCCCTGGCTAGTGACAGCTCTTGTCCAAGAACATTCAAAACACAACTTAGAACAGTTTTATGTCGACTGCCGTCCCTCAAGAAGACACTCGTCAGAACTCCCAGATTTTAAAGGATTTATTTTTTAGTTATTTTAAAAATAATTTCTAACAGATACTTCTCAGAGTCAGCCACAGTTTGTTATGATCCACACAGTCAAATGCCTTTAC